TCTTGTGTGTTTATACATCGTACTTTACATTTAACTAGATTCGTTTAAAGGAAAACACACGATTATGATAACTTGATAAAATATACAACTGTAACACAATATAATTGATAATACCAGGTACAAGCAGTTTATCTCTTTTTATGAAAGGACATGATCGCACACAACATGACAACATCTTTGCTTTCAGATGTGATCGACTTGTACAACAGGAGGCACAATACATAGAGATGACAAGTTAATGTCTACAACCTCATTGATCAAAATGACTCGGTTCAGTTAAAAAGTGATCGTGAAAAAGTCAAGCAGAATTAATTAAACAGTGAATGACCATGTTTGTAATAGATGTTTGTAAATTTTAATATTGAGGAGTATTCTGAATCAGTTAAAAAGATACCATCTATTCTTCTATGTATACAGTTATGTATCAAAAGACACAAAAAGATACCACTACATGTACAGTGGATTTCACAAAACAATACATGTACAGTGGAGTCCACAGAACCATACATGTACAGTGGAGTCTACAGAACCATACATGTACAGTGGAGTCTACAGAACCATACATGTACAGTGGAGTCTACAAAACCATACATGTACAGTGGAGCCTACAAAACCACACATGTTCAATGGAGTCCACAGAACCATACATGTACAGTGGAGTCCACAGAACCATACATGTACAGTGGAGTCTACAGAACCATACATGTACAGTGGAGTCCACAGAACCATACATGTACAGTGGAGTCTACAGAACCATACATGTACAGTGGAGTCTACAGAACCATACATGTACAGTGGAGTCTACAGAACCATACATGTTCAGTGGAGTCTACAAAACCATACATGTACAGTGGAGCCTACAAAACCATACATGTTCAATGGAGTCCACAGAACCATACATGTACAGTGGAGTCCACAGAACCATACATGTACAGTGGAGTCTACAGAACCATACATGTACAGTGGAGTCTACAGAACCATACATGTACAGTGGAGTCTACAGAACCATACATGTACAGTGGAGTCTACAGAACCATACATGTACAGTGGAGTCCACAGAACCATACATGTACAGTGGAGTCCACAGAACCATACATGTACAGTGGAGTCCACAGAACCATACATGTACAGTGGAGTCCACAGAACCATACATGTACAGTGGAGTCCACAGAACCATACATGTACAGTGGAGCCTAGCTGCTGTAAGATCTCTCATTGACGCTGTTTTGTTACTGTAGTTGAAGTCAATCAAGTTCTCGATAATGTGAAGGGTGATTGGTTTCTACTGACAATATGGCAATCTGTCGATCTGATGCCATTAGGTTATACAATGAGACCAATCCTAGCATACAGTTATATGTTAATTGGAATCCTAATTCTAAATAGACTGATTGGATAGCACAAGCCAGATACTACATGTTGCTACAGACAGGATGCTTAATATGTAGTTAGTTAAGAATACATTAGGAAATTGATCAAAAGATAAATAATAATGATGATAATAATAAACACGTGCCGAGTATAATGGCGGTGATTCTTAGGATTGTATCTGTGATGAAATAAAATAGAATAAAATCCTTTTTAATGGTGAATATTGGAACGTCCCCCCCGCGTCATACCTGCTGTAAATCTCTCACTGCGTGTTTTGTTACTGTAGTTGAAGTCAATCAAGTACCTCTAAATCACTGGTGATTGGTTTCTATCTGACAATACTGCAATCATACATCTAAACCATTAGGTTATACAATGAGATACCCCTGCATACACCTATATGTTAATTGGAATCTAATTCTAAATAGACTGATATTTAGCACAAGCCACTGATACTACATGTTGCTACAGACAGGATGCTTCACACCTCTAAACCACATGCGAAATATCAAAAGATAAACCATAATGATGATAATAATAAATCACTGCCGAGTATACATCTAAACCATGCGTGATGAAATAAAATAGAATAAAATCCTTTTTAATGGTGAATATTGCGTGATACGTCTAAATCCCGCGTCATACCTCTAAATCACTGCGTGATACGTCTAAATCCCGCGTCATACCTCTAAACCCCTGCGTCACACCTCTAAACCACTGCGTCACACCTCTATACCCCTGCGTCATATTTATAAACCAATGCGTCATACATCTAAACCAATGCGTCATACATCTCAACCACTGCGTCATACCTCTAAACCCCTGCGTCACACCTCTAAACCACTGCGTCATACCTCTATACCCCTGCGTCACACCTCTATACCCCTGCGTCATAGCTCTAAACCACTGCGTCATACATCTAAACCACTGCGTCATATTTATAAACCAATGCGTCATACCTCTGAACCACTGCATTATACCTCTTAACCACTGTGCCATATCTGTAAACCGTTAGATTGGTATTTATGATTTAGAATTCTATTACGAATTGATGTGGTACTCATTTAAGCTACCTGTTGAAAATTCACTTTGAATTTGTAATAGTTTGTTTTTGTAACAAAAGCATCCCATAAATTGCAATATATTATGTGATCAAGTGTAGTATTAATTAACTGATTTTAATAATTCCAACATATATTGACTAATTAGACACAACTTGGTTCGGGTATATTGAGTACAGTAAGGTTCTAGGGATATTTTTACTACTGGACCAGTTTACACATAATGAATCTATAATGTTTTAGCAGTTTACGTGTGTTTCTATATCAGGTAAAATCTACTTTAGGCCACAATCTTCCGACATTTGAACTAATGATAATAAGCAAATGTATAACTAATAATATTAACCTTGCTACCACTGTGATAAATGATTTTTTTAAGAGCTTCCAAGAGAGTTTTGTGAGTGTTTACACAAATGCAAAATATGTTAATTGGGATCGAGAAATATATTATATTGTATGATAAAAATATGATTATCATTTTGGTATTTGATGTGGTGTAAACTATATACAAGTTATACATTGATATACAGGTTACGATGACACGTTAAACGCCGTAACAAGTGTCTTGCAAGTCATCATCTTAAAATTTTAAATTGTTAACACATATTTACAAAGACAAACACAAATCTATGTACACTATTTCGTTTCCAATGGACCAACCTTATCATAGTAATTTACACCAGTAAGTTAAACAAGAAAACAATGCACTTACATAGATGACAGTGTATATTCTTTATATAGTACACTTAAGTATATCACAATAAATCTTGTTATGACAATTATACAGATGAAATTAATATTCCACATAATGCAATACATAAACACGAAAATCAAAATTATGTCCGTAGGGTTGAAATTTCTAATAATTTATATATATATATACATATATGTTCATATCACGTAATTAGACAATTTACCACAATGATCATGACGAGAAAATTCCTGCTGTCTATCAGTACAACTGCCAAACATCCTTTTTTGGGGATGCCGTGGTGGTGTGATGGTTAGGCATTATGGAATTTCTTGTCTACGCGATTTAGTGCCGTAGATTGTGAGTTCTAGGCCCGAACAGGGCAGGAGTAAAAATTATCTTCCTTCATTAATTGTATTACAATAGCCAAAATAACACCTTGACATTTCTTTCTAGTATAAGAAAATAAAGAACGGAAAACAAATGCGTTTATGTTCCCATTAACCCACATATTTAGATATTGAAGTTAAAATATTTCAATAACAAGAATGGCCGCTAATTTATCTAATTTTAGCAATTACACAAACAAGTCGTAAGACGTCATCAAATTCCATGACGTCAAAAGAAGACATTTCCACTGAATAAATTACACATTCAGACAGAACGAGTTGGCGCATTGTGTCCTTTTGTGGGAATTATGGGAAATGTCTGGTGACGTAATGCATAGGAGTTGCTACAGCAGCTGCTCGGATGCTCTCATGCTACACCTTAGTACATGAAGGTTATTAACAGTGACATGTCACGAAGAGATATCATGAAGACACAATTATCACTTACCATGTTTAGTGAGTAATTACAGGCAGGTCAATATCGGGCTTCCAGGAGTTCATTACAAAGTGCGTCATAATACAAATCAGTGATAGGAATATACTCATCCAAAAATACACGGGAACAAGGTTCATATTAACAAATATATCTTAGTTCAGTTGATGTACGCTTCATGGCAAAGTGTTACAGAAAAATTCAATGTCACTACAAACTTAAGGTTAAATAGACCGGAAGTTGTTCAATCAGGAAAACAAAGCATAGAATGTGTTTGATGTAGAGCAGCAAGGTGCTTTTACCGTCAAATATAATCTCTTGTGGGATTTTGCAAAATATAACAGGAATTTTAATTTCTACATCCGATACAATGTGTGGACATTGCAAAAAGGCATACAAAAGTAAGACAACCACTCTGTTTGATAGGATAATAATAATGATATATGACATGCTAGAAATTTTATCAACAATAGTTGTATGTACATTATATAATGAATTATTGATGACAACAATTTTATATACAAATATCAATGATTGGATGCTTTATAACGGTAAACATGAACATACCAAATTACATACTTGTGTTAAATAGTACATGCCTGCCACTCTGCAAACATACAAAACATGATTATATACTATCTTAACAAATGAGCATTTTTCTTCATCCCGTCTGTGCGGTTTATGAACGATGCTATCAAACTATTTTTATAGTTACAAATTGAATGATTGCAATGGAAAACAAACGAGCTAAACATTCTCTCAATAATTGCAAATCAGAACAACCACGCCTTCCCTTGAATGTTCACTTGTAAAGTAACTTTTCATAAAAAAAAAATAAATAAATAAAATAAAAAATAAAAAACCAGTTGAGTTGATGTATGAGGAGGAATACTCGAACGATTCAATACCCTTGTGTTTTGACAGGATATCAGATGTATTTGGTTTAACGTCATCATTAGTATATCTTACATGATAATTCTGATTGAGTGGTTGAAAGATCGACTCCAGCAAGGCAAAAAGGTTAACGGATGACCCTACCACATTGTCAGTGTATATCATATGATATCTTGGTTTTTGTCATCAAGCTTTGCAATTCTCATTTCGAGTTTGTTCTTTTCCCTGAGCACCCTGTCAAGTCTGCCCCCAAGGTCAATTTCTGAAGCTTTCCACATAAGCAACAAATCTTCTTTTGTAATATCATCATACTTTTCAGGTAGCACGTCCGACCTTCGCCTTGAATTAAGCTCGTGCCATGTTTTCCGCTTTCGATGATTTTGCTTTTTATTTTCATTGAAAGAGGAAGCAGTTCGTTGGCTAAAAGGGCGATATTCCCTGTTTTCAGAATCTATTGATAGATTTCGTATTCTCGAAATATTATCAATAGATTCATGATTATCAAGCGACAATTGTTTAGGTACATGTCCGTTAGGGATGGGATGAGGGTCAAGTTGTACAGGTAAATAGGGGTCGGCCATGAGCAATTCAGTTTGTTCCGTTATAGAATCATCACCATCGGAACTAGTGTCCTCGTCACCAACATCCGGGCTTATTTCTTCCCGGTTAACTTCCGGTATGGAAATACACCGACCGAGATTCTCAGTACTCCTTTGTTTTTCTAGATCACACGTTTTGTATGGGCACATATCCGTCGGGAGTGGAGGACTTAAAAACCAATCACTTTCTTCATTTCTGTTTTCATCACAAGAGTCGTCTATATCCCCGTCATTGCCACTCTGCACTTCGCTTTCATAGTTTTGACTTTTTAGAGCACTGAAGTCTATTTTAGTGCCGATATCTCTGAGGGATATTTCAGTGATACAGGGAGGGGCCGCCACGGGAGAATCTTCGTCACCGAACAATTTGTCCTCTCTCATTTGCTGCATCCTGTTAAAAGATATATAGCAACATGGGATAAATGTAGGTTAAGGAAACACAAAATACAAACATACAACTTATCTTGCTTGAATTGGCAGTTTAATTTTCGGTAAATACTCAAAGTATTTCTGACTCAGAGTTGGAATAATACATTGTCAAAGCGAGCCTTTTAAAACAAATTGTTCAATAAAACATAACTTGCCGTCGTGCTACTGCAAGTTGGAAATTAACATCACATCACGTGATTCATTTTGAACTACATGTAATAACTGAAATGTTGATATATATTGCGGGCTCCAAACATTACATTAGATGGTAAGGGTTTGACAACGGTAATGGAAGATGATAATTGTTTGTGTTGTGTATGTGTTTTTGTGTGTGTGTTTTGTGTGTGTGTTTTGTGTGTGTTTTGTGTGTGTGTGTGTGGTTGTTGGTTTGGATGTGGTTGGGTGTGTATGGTTGTGGGTTTGGGTGTGGTTGGGTGTGTGTGTGTGTGGTTGTGTGTGTGTGTTGTGTGTGTGTGTGTGTGTGTGTGTGTGTGTGTGTGTGTGTGTGTGTTTTTGTGTGTGTTTTGTGTATGTGTGTTTATGTATGTGTGTGTGTGTGTTTGTTGGTTTGGGTGAGGTTGGGTGTGTGTGTGGTTGTGGGTTTGGGTTTGGTTGGGTTTATGTGTGTGTGGTTTTGTGCGTGGCATGTTATAACATTGACACTATAATATATACAGAAACATACAGATAATACGGCATCACTTAACACCTGTTACACTTTTTGTTATTAAACATTTGTACTATGACCCGTTGGAGCAATGTTTATTTGAAAGTTCTTTAATTATGACGTCATAACTTCATTGCGTCATATGTATACCAATGTCGCCATAGAAAGAGACATACAAAGAGTGTGCGAATTTCGCCAATTTAGATTTGTATCAGTCTTACAGAATACTGATTTCATGAAGAATTGTAAAAAGTGTCTAAGGGGATTCATTATTGTATAAACAATTAAGCGGGAGACATAAGTTGATAGATGGAGGATATCATATTCGTTTCCAATTTATATGAGATTTATGAAGGGAGTCAAGTAACGTTGCTCACAATCAATCTTATTCTGTAACAAACGTCAGTGCTGTGAGTATACTATTACTCCGACTGAATCGGGAGATCTACATTGTATCAACGAGGATTGACTAGAACATGACATATTTCACTTTGTATAGCATTGGTTTTAAATATCTGACCCTTTGACATCAGCAGTACTATAGCGGATATATACAACAAGTACGTTTGACCCTTGGATCCTCTAGCAACTGTCAGTAACAGCAAATATATATATATATATAAATAAAACATTGGATATGTCTGTTGACCATAATTGGTCTGTAATGGACAACTACATACCCTTTTGTCTGTGACTACACAGAACATAGATAACAAATCGACACTTTTATTTACCAAAGCATGCAAAGGAGATTGAACAAAAAAAAAAAAAAAAAAAAATAGCAAACAGATCCAACATGTCATGATCCCTATCCATGTAAAATGTAGTTATATGGTTTACAAAAAAAGGCTTTCTGCGCTTATTGTACTTTAAAATCTTCTCATGTTTCCTAAAGGAACATATTTCCTGCCTGCATGATGTGGTCATCGTTCATTGAGCAATCGGAAACGACACAATGACACGCGTGCGTGAAACAACACGTCTGCAACAAATCACCATAGCATGCATCAAAAGTTGTCCCCGAGTGTATATTATGGGTTTTTAGCAGTTACCGGTCGATTACTAAACAGTAAAAGCACAAATATGTTAATCTAGTGTTCTTTCTCAGAGAAAATAACATCTCATCTGACATGACACTCTCCTTTAGAGTATAAAATCTTTCACGGTTATCAAAACTAAGCTTGAACTTAAAAAAATCCCCGACGTTAGGACAAAGTGAGTGCTTGAGATCAATATACAAGGGGACCAGACGAGGTACGGGTTTCTGTTCAATCTATTGGTAATTCAATGTCATGCACAGGCAATAGAGCTGTTAATATATATATATTTTGGAAAATTGGAGTTTTCTGGAACGAATATATATGTATCGATTATACGAGTTTCAAATGCAGATTTGTGAAGAAAAAAACCCCTTAAAAACCAACAAAAACAAAAACAAACAAAATGAAACAGAAATGAATAAATAAATAAACAATTAAATGAATAAAACAATAAAATAACCATACATTTGTACGTGTCAACGGCGGTGTTTATGTTTATGTTTATGTATATATTTGTACAATGATGACAGAGATGACTTTCAGCGACGAGCCTAAACCTTGTACTGATAGTTATGCAACAATACTCAATATTTGCTATTGACCATTTCAAACACAAGATGCATATTCAGTTTTTTTGGCATACCGATGCCAATAGGATTCTGTTAAACTTTGATAAAAATAGCATTAGAATTTTATTTGAAATAAGACGTTCCCTAATTTAATCGTAACCGTTGTCGGTTTTCTCAAGCGTGCTGTCTTCCCTGTATGATTGTTCATATGATGAGGGAAACGATATTTCTAATGTTGTTTTTATTTTTATTCTTTTTTTTTTTTGCGATCAAGTTGATTGGTTTTAAGACTTGATATTGACTTGAGTAGGAAATCGGAAATAATTGAAGAGACGCATTTTACTGGGTATTTGGTTTCCAACGTAGGATATAGCCTTTAGTACGAATGATCTAAGTTATTAGACACATTGTCTAGGGTTTATCTACATCATTGTAGATTTACAGCAGGAATCATGAAACAATAAGGATATATAGGCCTGCCAAGGTGTTACAGAACCTGTGAACTTTCCTCTTTACGGGCGGTAGGCAACACACTGTCTAGTATTGGTGCCTACTTGACTTTTCAAATCACGTCGTGTCCTTGGTACTTTGCTATGACCGGAGGAGAAATGACACGCACATCTCTCATAACAAAACCCAAAGACGGATGTAAATTATTTAACGAACAATGTCTGAAAATGCAAACTAACGTGCAGATAATCGTCGTAAGCACTGTACGTGCTATGCTACATGCGTGTAAGACATCAAGTTTGGTTTTGGATACTTTGATGTACATGTTTTTGCCCGATCTCAACTTCATATTTTTATCAATGTCGACGTGGAACAAAATCTGTTAATGATCTAACTTGTATGTCAGCGCCATGGCTCTATAGAATGTCAATTAAGGAGCTATTCCGTAATGCCATTAAAATTTCGCGATGGCTCACTTGTTTGCAAATTAGTGAAAAAAATCATTTTCATAAATCCGTCTTGTAAAGCCTTTTTTGGCAGAATTGATGTGAAAATATCGATTGGCGTATTAAACCTACTTTATAACCAACATTATAGCCAAATTGGTAATACATTCTAGTGGTTTTTAAGTCACATTAACACCTTCTCTGTCCTGTAAATATTAAATAAAATATAATTCCGTATACTAATAGAAAAATTACATTTAAAATGCATTAGCTATCAAATGCTCAACACTCTCTTGATAATGATGATCCCGTACCGCTTGAAAAAACAGAATTGCTAAAAATCGTAAACATTTATCGATGTGGACGGCATACGAGATACTTATGCCACGGAAACAACACATCGATTAGGCGAGTTAACATCAGTTTAATTAATTTCTTCGATATGTCACCAATTAATTCATCACTACTGACGACACATTTATGTTAAAGTATTAAAAATTTCTGTTCCTGGTATTTTCTGGGCCATTAATTAATCCCAATAAAATGTAAACAAAAGTCGAAATTTCGCTTGACCAATGAAAACAAAACTTGACCTATAGTGGATAAAAATTGCCATAGACAAGAACAATGAACATATAACACAAATACCCAATTCTTAAGACTTGGCCGTATATCGTTTGCAAAGTGTCTATATATCTTTCTATCGTATAATCCTCGTTCTTTTGTTAATTCACCTATGTAATATTTCTGCGTATATATCAGTCAGGAATCGATTGTAAGGTCACAATATGGACAGTAACGTAACGTCGTGCTGAAAAATACCAACATGTGACCAGAACCTTGATCTAAACTCGAATCCAATTTAACAAGGACAAACTATAGATCGAAGAGAGATTTACGCGGTGACTCCCGAAACGGTACAAAGAACACTCCGGAAGAGTCTGCGTCTTTTGCTTCATCGACAACACACACGATGTTAATTTTGTTAATGCAAGTAAGTAATATCACGTTCTCAGATGAGAACAAGGTATACAACAATGGAACAAACAGGCAAACAAAGGAGAATCAAACACGTCCAGCTTCATATCGAACAAAGAAATAAAAAACAGAAATGAGGTCACTATGACGACCGTAAACCTGTCATCAACCTGCCATCTCTCGAAACCTGACTCATGAGCTTGCTTGTCAGTTGACATCATGCATGGAAATCGTGATATAGGGAACAGGCCCACAGGTGACATGTAAACACCGTAAGTTGTTGATGCAGATATATTTATTTTAAACCAGAAATGGAAAATTAGGAAAATAAAATCATCACGCATATATTATTTTTGTTGGAAAGTTATCGATCTTGACAACAGTCTGTCATGTCCTCTCAGGTGTAAAGGTGTAGCAGCTGAAAGCAAAATTGCAGTTCTTCCCTCCCCCATTCAAATTATAAAAATAGATTAAAAAAAAAAACTGACAACAATATCACATGACGTTATATTTTACGAAATGTAAATAATTTTCGGGCTGCTGCACCTTTCCGTCTAGTTTTAAATCACTTTTGATAACTTTGGATTTTCCTTAGTCACCTCCCAGGCTTCAAAATTTAGACCCTTAACATCACTGACGAGTCCTAGAAGGACCAAACAGCTGTATGATGTAGCACCACTGACGAGTCCTAGAAGGACAAACAGCTGTATGATGTAGCATCACTGACGAGTCCTAGAAGGACAAACAGCTGTATGATGTAGCATCACTGACGAGTCCTAGAAGGACAAACAGCTGTATGATGTAGTTTAATTCATTGTTTGGCTCTACTCTATCTTACTCTAAATTATAAAAAAGGTGTTGTTCTCTTGTGTGTCTTTTGTACAATCTTGGAATATTATATACAAATTACTCCATATAGTAGTTACACAAATATACAGGGCTTACATCAATATCCTGTTTATCTAGAATCTAATGCACATCTAGTAGATATAGGGTGATATGTTTACCTGTTGTTTATTTTTGTCTCCATTGCTGAAATGTTTTGTAAACACGTTGATTAGACAACACAGATTTTGGTTTATAAATACTGTCATGACAAAATAAAGCCTAAACATTTAGTAAACGTTTAAAAAAATGTGATTTTATAGAATACAGAATCTTAACACCCTTTCACCATATACTATGCTATAATTAGCAACGACTGCCTGTCTTCGTGTTCCATAAAAAGCATACAGTTCCACAGATGTTTATACCATCCCATCAACAGGTTGTAGAAATTACATTTTATAACACAATTAGAATGTTTCCTTTCAGGAGAACATCAGTGAATTTCGATAACAATCTATCTAGGAAATATGTTAAGCCAACATAAGTGTTTCAAGGTCAATTTTTCCATATCTTATCTAGACATAATTTGAACGGTTAAGTTTACAAACAAAGAACCCGAATCTGGAGATATTAAAGAAGACACCCTTTTCTATAGAACTCAATAAGAAAGCGTTGACTTTGTATAAAATTTAGAATTTTGAGAAAAGTTAAAACATATCCAGTTGTTCTATTTGATAAATATCTAGAGTATGAAACCCACCATTTTGCCTTTTCCACAACATCCAAGAAGTTTCGGTTCAACCTTTTTGTCTTTGCCATGTCAGCCAGTTTGTTCCTCTAAAGAACAAGAAAGAAAAATGAGAAATGCAAACATGTCAACAGAATTTTAACTCAAACTATTTATTACTGAAACGAGAAATATCCTAAATATGAACGAAGTAACGACTTGAACGGAGACACTTGAAAAAGTAACAGGCACCAGGGAACCAGGTATGTGAGCGTGTTCGGTTTTACGTCACACATGGTATTCAATGAACAACCACTTGTGTATTCCTTGCCTTGACCGCGTATGTAGCGAAGAGGATGAAAAATGTTCTCACGTTCTCCTGAATGTATGCAAATGAATATTGATTTAAGCCTAGTCTATTAAGCCAAATATTTTGTATTGATATTAATTTCTTCTTCATAAATCGAAAGATGATAACATATTTGCAAAAAGAATAGTTGGGTAATCTATCCGCTGACAAATGATGTAATTATTTGATTTTCAACAGTGATAAAATTGTTACCTATTGATGAAATGTTTTTATCCTTTCTTTCATCGCTCTGGTAGAAGGATGTATTAAACATGATACTCACCCGAATGGTGCTTTTCATGAAAAGTTTGGAGAACTCCCGATTTCTCACGATTCCAATCATTTCTTTAGCAGACTCATTGGCATTGACCAGTTCTGCACTGGTTAGAATGCGGTGCAATCTCTGTAACGATTAATTGTGATAGGCTTAAATGAAAAAGGACATACGATAAACATGAATCGATCATTTGGAAATATCACCTGTCTTATTTGCAATTGTACTCGTACAGAAATATCAATTCCAGTACAGTTTATAAATGATATCACAGGCCATGAACAAGATAATGTTTATAAAACTAAAACGGTTGTGAAATGAAGCTTTAAACGATAAAATTCCAGCTATACCTTTGCATACAGAGCATATCAAACATGCTGACTGAGATACACTTACCATAACCTTAATGCAAGTCATGTGGTCTTTGTGACTGAATTCCATCTAACGTTATCAAATTACACACCGGACTTAAATTTTGCGCTTTTGGAAAAAATGCCTCCACAAAATATAGTCCGTTTGAAATATTAACCTGACATTTTTTGGGAAAAATGAAGTTTTATTTCACGATTTCTCAATAAAATATACGTTGGAATTATGTGAAAAGCAATTGATATTTTGATAGGAGTAGTGTTAAAAATTAATTCCTCAATTTACATCGGTGGTATCAAATAAGTTGGAAAAACTGATGGTAGTGTTTAAACCAGTTAAGCGTTTTTTTCTTTATATTGTTGTCTTTAAACATAGAAATAAAAGATAAAAAACGAAAATTAAAAGGAAATCCGGCAAAGATAATTTTTCTCTTTTCTTTAGGTTATATGTGGATAACTTCAATTGAACTCTTGTAAGTATAACACACGTGTCCCCTGTCATTTAGTTTGTAGTTATCTGCTGGTAACCTAAACAAATTAGAAAGTCAATTGTAAATTGACTTTTTGATGTTAATGTTGGCGTACCTGACTGAAAAACATGAGATGGGAGCTCTTAACACAGCTTTTCGGGGAAGATTTCCGGAATCGGGGAACAAGACATCTGTAGATAGCATGTTCCACAAAACACAACAGGATTCCGAAAACAATTCCTCCTGACAGCATGACAAACAACCCAGCGTGATGGAGTACTTCTAATCGGGACTCCTCGGAGGTGATCCTCTGTTTGTAACACTCCGCGTCAGCAAAATGCACGTCAATGAGATCGTCAATGTAACCAATTTCGTGGTACTCCTTTATTTTCTCTGACAGGGGGATCTATGTGAAGAAAAATAGCGTTCTTTGTAGATAGTTGGCCATAGTTTATATTCCTATATAGATAACTGTATTGTAGACGAGATATTGGAATTTCAAGACGAAAGTAATTGATGATAGAATCAGTGGCTGTACAGTTGTACACTATTTATATTCTGAGAGATAGGAAAACAAAACAGATTTATTCTCTTGATTCATTTTCACACTGACATGTCTGAAAGAGAAATGATATTTTCTGATAAAATAAATTTGTTCAACATAACCGCTTTACCCACTGACACGTCTACATGATAAATTAAGTTTTCTTATCAATTGAATTATTCTACAGGATGTCTTTGAGGAATTAGAATGAAACTATTTAACGATTTCTTAATGCCCCCGTGCTGCTATAAAACATAGCGCCAATTCTAACGAACTTTTCGTTCAATCCCCATGGGAAATTTCACCAAAGACTTAATCGATTTTAAAATCTTGGAATGGAATTATTCCATCTTGAATTTAGTCCTAAATACACTTAACATTGTTAGGTGTCGAACACGCAGTAAAAAAATAAATTGAATAAGCTAATGTTGTACTGTATCAGGTCTCTGTAATAAACTGTCCAAACTGTAGTTGTTACCGTGAGTGAAACGGAATCTTGTAGTCACATATACTCCTGACGTCTAAACTGTAGTTGTTACCGTGAGTGAAACGGAATCTTGTAGTCACATCTATACCTATTATCTTAACTGTACTGCTAACCTTCAGTTTTGCGAAAATCTTCAGTAACATCTACAACTAACATGATCAACTCTGCTACATTGACACCATTTCCCAACATTAAAATTTTACCTTTAACGGCGAGTCTTTGGCAATACCTATCCCGTATCCATCCTCGCCAAATGGTTGTGACAAAAGTCTGAGCTGACATTTTGGGTCTAAATTCCCTCTTGCATACTCAAGGATAGGGTAGTCACCTAAGTAGGCATCCAGTTTATCGGCTCTGGAACAAATAATATATTACAATGTAACACTGATGGTCACGTTGGCAAGTATCCAGATTATCGGCTCTGGAATATGTAATATATTACAATGTAACACTGATGGTCACGTTGGCAGTTATCCAGCTTATCGGCTCTGGAATATGTAATATATTACAATGTAATACTGATGGTCACGTTGGCAGGTATCCAGCTTATCGGCTCTGGAATGTGTAATATATTACAATGTAATACTGATGGTCACGTTGGCAAGTATCCAGATTATCGGCTCTGGAATATGTAATATATTACAATGTTATACTGATGGTCACGTTGGCAGGTATCCAGCTTATCGGCTCTGGAATATGTAATATATTACAATGTTATACTGATGGTCACGTTGGCAGGTATCCAATTTATCGGCTGTGATATATCAAATGTAAATATATTGAGATGTTAAATTGATGGTCAAGCTGGCAGACATCGATTTCATTGGCTCTGTTGTATATATATGTATATATATATATATATAAAGTTAAACTGATTGTATAGTTGGCATGCATCCAGTTTATCGGCTTTGCAGTATAGCATATAAATGTATTGCAAATTGTAATACTGATAATCACGCAGATAAACGTCCAGTATATCACTGCAAGATGCACATATTAAATGTACAGCCAGGCATATTACGATATTAAAGATAATAGTAGATTAAAATCAACTTTACCTACACATCAGTAAGTGCAGTCAAATACACGTATGCAGCAGTAGATAAGTTATTACATATATAGACGTCATTGTCTGGGAATAAACGCTTATGTTTGATATAGTCAGGAATGAAACACACCCATGAAAAATGTAACGTGAAACATTTCCCTAATTAGATATATCCTAAGTTATCTTAGATTAATTTTCTATTGTTTTATAAAAAGTGTAAAAGCAAAACGGCTAGAAAATGCCTGGAATGAAAGTTCCTAGCTGGACGTGTTTGAAGCTCTCTAGTCTGCATTTTGGTTCCGTTTTTGTATACCTTGTTTTCATTTGAGAAGGTCACATTACTTTGATGAAGCCGAAGATGGTTACTCTTCCGGAACTTCAGCAGTTTCTGTGTACGTCTTTCTTTTGTTAATATTCAGCTTTAGTTTTATAGACTTTGAGTTTGGAGTATGATTATGCTGATTTAAATTTTGTTGTTTCGAATGCTAAACTATAGGCAAGTGATTCAAAAACCTCTTCAAACGAAAGATAATGCTTATCACCACTGTATGGCCGCAGAATGACCGCTCAAATTATCATCCTGTCTTTTTGAAATTCATCCAATTTGAGGCTGGAGCACCAACCCCTCTGGTTTTGGTGATTTATTTTTACCAATTTGATTTTCCTCCGTCGCTACCTAGAGATTTAAAAATCAGGTTCTTATCATCACAGACGAGTAGTTTGTATTGAAAAACACTATTCGCTTGTGTGTCTTCCGAGAAGCCTTTCTCTTATGTGTAAGAGAGAATATCTACAAATCAATTTGAATGCGTTGTCTCTAAATAATATATAATGAAACGTCAGTAAGTTGTCAAAAAAGGACTGCCTGTAATAAGTAATATGTACTGAATTGTCAATAAGTTGTCAGGAATGGACTGTCCGCTATAAGTAATATGTACTGAATTGTCAATAAGTTGTCAGGAATGGACTGTCCGCTATAAGTAATATGTTATGAAACGTCAATAAGTTGTCAGGAACGGACTGTCCGCTATAAGTAATATGTTCTGAATTGTCAATAAGTTGTCAGGAATGGACTGTCCGCAATAAGTAATATGTACTGAATTGTCAATAATTTGTCAGGAATGGACTGTCCGCAATAAGTAATATGTACTGAATTGTCAATAAGTTGTCAGGAATGGACTGTCCGCAATAAGTAATATATAATCCCCCTCCCCGCTCTTTCTGCAAATCCACAAATGTTAGTATATCACTATATATAGAATTTATCTATTATATGAGATAACCATACACATCAAAATAATCCCACAACCCTCTGTTAGGAAAACTATACATTAGAAGACCTATAATCATGTTTACATAAAAACACTGACAAGGGAAAGAGTTTAAAAACAAACAAATCAATTGACAGAAAGCATCCCAAGGATATGACCTAATTTAAAATTTAATGGGTTATCTTCATTGCGTTTAGGTTGAAATATATTGATGTAGTAACTTAAGAGCGATTAGCTTTATGCGCCTGTATAAGCTAATGTGATATGTTCGTGACATCATTTCACCATTCAAACATAAATCATGATATGCTGAATCACGCAAATTATTCATAATGGTCGTTAAGTATCCATTATCATAACACATATGCTGACTCGTTTAACAACATAAACGCACGTGAATAATACATAAGTATTCATATGTTTTTGATAAATGAATTTCTTTTTGAGACCATGCCAAAACCCTGTCAAGCCATTATTGTTATGAAACATAAGTCGTTCTATATGTGTTTGTGGTTATCATACGACACTGTGGAAAAGCGTTCTAAACGAAGACTAAAACAAATGCATTAATAAGCGTCATTTAATGCTAATACCTAAATTTTGCATTATCCAGGCGACAATGGGCTGAATTTTCATGAGATTGATTGCAAAAAAATGTCATATATTTATCTCCAAACTGGACAGCTTCTGCATCAGATATTAACTTGAATATTTTATTAAAATTGCAATCAAGTGTTTTTATGTTGCAAAATATAGGACAATGCATGTTTAAAAGTGAATCAATCGCACTGTAGCATTTATTATATTTGTAAACGAGTAAATCTACTCGTCTAGCAGGTTGAAAAAAGGAGAAAAGGAAAATTTAAAATTATCAGAAGTTCCTAAACCATCCACCAGAGAATTTATGCCTATCTACAATACCTTCTTGGTTTCAAATTTAAAGGTTTTAGTATCATTGACGAGTCCTAGATGGACAGAACAGCAGAATTATGCATTGTAATCCATTGTGAGTATTTTGAACAGTCGTCGAGATTGCAGGTGGTGGACACTGTTGGGGGACGTTAAGTCAAAGAGGTTTGCTGTAACCTGTATGTTTTTGAATAATTGCAAGGTCAATTTACACACGTTGTTGATGTTTTTTTCTGAAACTGTCAGATATAGGGAAATTACAAAAAATATGAGTTATGGAACAAGTGCATCTCCCTGTCTAGTTTTGACATTTTTTCGATTACCATTATTTTTCCTCTGTGTCGCCTCTCAGGCCTCTGTTCATGCCCCTTGATATCATTGACGAGTCCTAGAAGGACGAAACAGCTGTATGACGCAGTCTCATTTGTATTTTGTTCTACTGTTTCTAACTCTTAGTTTGTATTAGACGGTGATTTTATCTTTTGTGTCTTGTACAATCTTCATTGAATAATCTACATTTCAGATAAATCTAATTGTACCCTTTCACCTTTGACGAAATATCTTACATTTGGGATGAAAATTGCAATCGGAACGGATGAACCATCTAGCGGGAAATATTACACAATGATTTGTGCTCGGGTTCGGTTAGAAATACAATGCTTTGTCCAGTCGAATTGTGTTTTTTTTTTTTTTTTTTTTGCGATATCCATTACTACGATTACGTCTCCTTTGAGGGGTTTACACAGACAGGGAAGCAAACGCAGACAATTGTTTGGCTGCCTATATTTTTACAGACTGAGTGGGGTTATTACATTTGTATAGCATAACGGCACCAGTCTGATATAATGTTATTATATATAGTGGATGAGTAGTGCATTCTCGCTGAAATAAGGGTACTCTTTGACAGCATAGGATAGTCAATTAGTTCTTTGCATCTACGAAAGGGCGCCTTCCATTTTACGATAACATACGACGAGTGCAAGAAGAATACATCAATATGTTTGTACGGGAAATACTGATTAGCTACCAACACGGAAGTAAGATGTATTTGTAACTAAATTAGAAGTAATTAGGATAAATAAACTTTTTAATAAGGATTTATAACCTTTTAAAGTATCATTTAGGATAAATCGTATATAATTAATGAGGGTCAATTCAGATAGATAATCATTATAGGATCAATTAGGACCAAGAACATTTATACATGAATGTTTACTTAAAGAAAATAATTGTTAGAAAATTAATTAAGATATATTATTACAGGATTATTTAACAACAATACCATTTAAAATATTAATTATGATGAATTATTATAGGATTAACTAAGAACAAGATCATTTAAAATATTGATTAGGATAAAAGCTATAATTTGATAAATAATGTTAAATAAGATTTGTAGGATTATTTAAAATCAAGATCCTTTTATACATGTCGGATTATAAAGTGTTAATAGGATTTATGTATAGTTAATTTACTATCGTTAAATACTCTGTATAAAAGACAGAACGATTTTCTTTTCAGAGATAATCTCATAACGCAGGGATGCAGATTTAGGAAGATCTTGGTGAAATTTGACGGTCATCATAATGATCTTATTGAGAAACAATCTTTTTTCTTTGTGCGATATCAAGATTGAAGTGTTTGATGCTCGTGAGCTTGTTTGTTGGTTATGTTGTTATTTACCTTGTTCTCATTTGAGAACGTGGCATTGCTAACATGGATTGATCAACATTTATATGGCGGTACCTTTTCATGAGTCTTTTATGAAATTTGACTTATGTTCACATGTTGGTATTTTCTTGTCATTTCAGGGGAAACAGGTGTGCTATTACATATATTTAATATCAACAATGCGAAAATCAAAATGTTTAAACTTATTAACAAGTCTTGTTGTAATTCGGTCCTGTTAGATTCATTTTAGGAAAATAGTGGTAATTGATTTGTATAGATTAAACATACAAATACAAAGAATTGTTTTTTCGAATATCATTAAAAACATTTTCACCTTTTCTATACTGTATTACAGAAACTTAGATATATATATATTGTATTTATCAACACGTGCTGAAATTACTATCTTGACACAGTTCATCTTAAAATATATGGCAACATTAATATTATTTTGATTAAATGTTGAATGTCAATTCACATGGAGAGAATTATTGACCTCCTAAGTGATACATATGAAATATATTGATCCACATCAAGGCCGTTATCTTTTATACCTCTTCCCGTCTTGGCTGAAGCTGGATGTATATAGGAAGGTTATCATGTAACAGGGAGAAGATAAGGAGTACTGAACGCATTTGTTAAAGATACATATCTATATACATGGTGTATGTTATTCAAAACAATTCTTCAAACTTTATGTAATATCGAAATTATTAAATTGTACATGCAATTGGAACTCAGTATAGGAATAGCTTTATCTAAATTATCCATTCGAGTATATCATATTTAATTCTTTCATTAAAATCTATTCATCAAATTGAAAAAAAAAATGGAAAAAATATATTTATGACTTATTTCCATTTTGTTTACGGTATAGATAATGTCAATATTAATTTGAGGAGGTTGATATACTCTCAACACATCACTTTCCTTATAACGTATTTGCTTTTCATTTTCGATTGAATCACAAATCATTTCAATCACAATGTTGTCGAGCTCCGTGAGCATAGCAAAGCTCCCTGAGATGTAATCACTTCCCGCACTTTGTTGCGGAGACTGTGTTGGATGCGGAAGCCGCCTGACGACTGCGGACGTTTACGACTCCAAAAGCGCAATTAAGGATCCAGCGCTTCAGTCCGGAACCCAATTTGCATGCTAGTTATGGGCTTTTGAGACAATATGAGTATAAAATGATTTCCGATATTGACGTGTTATATACCATTCACAAGGTCCAAGTTGCACAGTGTTTACCGGTTTTGCAAATGAAGTGAATGTATGTATGATAAGCATTCAAAACAAACTGAACAGATAAAACAAGGACGCATAAGTAATACAATGTACATAAATATATATACACTATACAGTATGAATAAAACGATGTTCAAATTATATATATAACAGCAAAATACAATAGTAGAATTACTTATACGAAGGTTCAAGTATATCAACTTGCGATTAAGTATACTTAATTTTTTTTTTTTAAAAGCGGGTGGAAGAATATCATAATATGTTTCAGGTTTACCCCCGTGGAATTCGAATTATTTGAACTAATGTTTCGAACTGGAATAATTTCACCTTCACGGTTACGACCACTCCTTCTAGACTGATGGATCTTATTCACTGATCAATTCTTTTTTTATACTTAAAGAAGCGTCATTTTAAATTGGCCGAAATATCTAAACGATAAATGCGTAAAACTAAGAAACTAGATGGACCGTAGAAAAACACGAAGAAAATAGCATCTATACTTGACTCTTGAAAGTGTACCAGGAATATAAAATCAGAGGTCCCGGAAGAGAGTTCCTTATAGTTTACCCAAGTAAGTAATGTCACGTTTTCAAACACGAACAATGTATACGACAACGGAACTAACCTGCAAACTAACGAGCTTAAAACACGCCCGTACAGCCTGCACCTTTTGAAAAGTCCCTTGAATATCGAATCAACAGTGACATATAAACACCATAAGTTGCGGATGCACGGTTGCTGCTATCCAGAAATGTAAAATTCACCATAGGGAAATTGAAATCATCACGCTTATCGTACAGCTTGGTGGAAAGCTGTCCTGTTGGGTTCGTTATAGGAAAAGATCGAGATAAATGGTTGAATAAAATATATAAGACGCTACCAATACATCTGAAAGTTAAATCAGACGAATTTGCAAGGTCTTTGTGTTTTGATAAGCGGTTCGATGCCAGCTGAGGGGCACAGCTAGTTCCAATATGTATGTCAATATTATGTTAGAAGATCTTACATTGTACCACAAAACTCGACGACGATGTTGTCAGTCAGAGACGATCATTTTTTACGATTTCTTCCTCAATATATTTCTTATTTGTTGTGGAAATATTTTTCATGAAAAACGCTCCAGTATTCAGTTCACAACCATATTTATTTTTAGCGCCGTCCACATTTCTTGGCAACGAAAGCTCTCATGATAAGAAAACAAAGGCGTTCTTACAGTTTGGAATGGGGGTATGGTGGTGTACAATTTGAAAATAAATGTCCCCTGAGAAGAAGTAGTTCAGAAGATGGTTTTGAGGACTGGCCAAAAGCTCTTTGGAGCTCTTTAGAATCGAAATACTTTTAATTCCACTTCCCGTGTAAACAATATCACAATAAGACTATCCCTGATTTTGTAGTGCTAAGAATGGTAGTGTTTAAAAAAGGGGTTCGTTGAAAAGCTTGACGAACCAGCTATAAAACTTTGTTTAAATGGATTCTTATGAAGCTTGCGATTCCAAAATAAACATGATCCCTAACATTAATACGCAATTTTATACTGAAGAATGGTTAGCCATATCGGGTAACCTTTCGTGTTATAATTCACCCTGTCTAATTCAATAACGTAAAACAAATTATCACACACACAGCACACTCGCCCACTTTCTCACACACACACCACCATCACCACCACACACAAGACACGCACATACATAAATCTTAAGCCTCTAGTTAGGAAAGCTAGGCATCAGAGCCGCGCAGTGGCATTGGTAAATTACAGTACAAGGACAAGATAACACGTTCTGGTATTTCTCAGAAAAATGCATTCGTCTTACATTAAGTGTTTTGTCAAGGGTCAGACACAGGCCTAGTAAAGCATTTATAAATAGGTTGGGAATTTATCATGAGAAATATATCGCTTTCTTAAATCTAAATACATTGTAGCGCACATTATCAGATTCCTCTTCTTCTTCTTCCGTGAAATATAATGTGAATGGGTAGATATGAACCAGTGAACTGATGGTGTGAAAACAATGTTCCAACACGATATATTACTTTTTTGGGCTGACCAATATTTACATGACATGTGGCGTCGATGAATCAGAAGGTGCTTCTGGGACACCTGATCCTGAACTTAATATCCTGGTACTTTTGCAGGTGTGTCCATGTCAATCTTTCTTTTGTTCATATTTCAAACTTAATTTCTTCGAAAATGTGTTTGAATTCTGATTCTGCTCTCATCTTGGCTTTTCTATGATTATGTATCATAGTGTATACTGTCCGAGAGAGAGAGAGAGAGAGAGAGAGAGAGAGAGAGAGAGAGAGAGAGAGAGAGAGAGAGAGAGAGACAGAGAGAGAGAATTGTCAGAGACTCAATATATAAATCATGAAACAGAGAGTCAGAGAGAGACATGATCAAAAAAATGTCTGCAGAGAGAGAGAAAGAGAGAGATCAGAAAAATTCCAAAATATTACTATTGAATTTGAAACAGTTAAATACTCGATCTTTCCGCTGCATAATAAAGTCCATGTTTTTTAGAAGTTTAGATATGTAATATAACCTGTACGTAAACATCTACTCATTATGTAAAGTGTTACCCACTAAACACAAAGAAGAAATATATCTATCGGCACCAAACATCAGAGAATTACGACACATTATCAATTACGTTATTTTAAATGTCTGTGCAGGTATTCATCAGTGATGTTTAAACTATCATTCTGTAAAACTTGTAGCGTCACAAAGTCATGAATAAAATGACAAATAATGAGAAATTAATACTTTTAGTATTCCAAAAATAAAGTATTCAGAATTACTAATGTATCTTTTAAGTACATAGCTACCTTTATACAATAACTAGCATAACAGAACAATATGTCATTGGCGAACACATCTTTTTTTCTTTGAAATGTATCCAACATCGTAAATGTATTTTTTTAGATATAAATTGAGATTTTTTTCCAACTTTGTTATACTTTGTCCTAACACCTAAACAAGCTTGTCCTAGAGCTTTCCATTCAAATGATCGATATTGTGATTATAATGTTATAACATGGTACCACATTTGTATACTTACAAAATGTGGCTCTGTACAATGCTTAAGTATAATTACATGTATCTAAAGTCATTACACAAAGAAGTAGTACAAGAGACAAGTTATGATAATACCTTGTAGGCCGTAACATTGTAACTTGAATTAACTCTAGGAATATCAGTATGAAGAACCGGATCTCGAAAGAACTTTTTTAATAGACATCAACATGCTGCATAATTTCTCACATCACAAAATTACACGTATTTCATCAAATCTACATAGCGCGAGTCTGCAATTGTCCCGGATGACAGTGTAAGATTAATTCGAAAGAGTAGAAAATAAGGGTTTATACTGAACAGAGAAATAAGCCTTATACAGAGACACGTGTGGTGACTGAAAAACCGATACCACTGTCAGATCTATTGGCAAATCCAATGAAGGAGAAATGATGAAAAACCAAGTTTTTACTTACATCAGCATTTCGATAGCTTCGTCTGATTTAGGCACATGGTGTCTCTGGCTGGTCAGAAACAATCGGTAGTTGATCTTCTTTACGATAGACTCGACAGCACTTGCCTCCAACACACCCACACGTATATCAAGCATCTATGAAGAGATTCAAAGTAATATTTATTAGTACAAAAAGATAATTTTAGATAGACATATAGACATGAATTGCTGTCTGTGTCACATACGCGATGCTAGAGCTACATTTGTATTATGATCATACTGGAAAAAATTCCTTGTGAGAAAAACCACGTTAACATGTTTTGAGCACGTGAAACAATGCGAAGTGACCACGTAGTTAACCTGGTTAGGCTTCCAAGTACTTCTGAAGTAAACTTTTATTGCTACACTGCTGGGACGCGTGAGCTTGATTCCCATTGCTGTTTATATAGTGAATTAACACGTAAATGAGTAAGCATTACCGACGAGTATTAGAAGGATGAAGCATTTGTAGGATTCAATTTAATTGATTATCTGGTTTCACTGCATTTAATCTAATTCTAAATTTGTTTTAAATGTGTTATTCATTTAAGTGTCGATCGTACAATCCTTTCGAATGTTAGGTTAGGGGGTAAAGTTTACCCAAGTAATGGTTCATCATGAGTATGGTACTATCCTTTACCTAACGTTCCAGCACACATTTACTACGTTATGATACAGACAACAAATCGAACATTCTCTCTATTTTTTAACACGAGAATAACATGTGTCGTCCATCATGGAAAGACAGAATCTAAAACCCATTCATGTCTGAAAAAGAGACATTATATAAGTAAAGTTTTTGTATGATGTGAAATATACAAGAAACTCCAATAATTCAAACAGAACGCGCCATTTGTATATTTCAATATTTACTTACTTTCAAAAAAAGTTGAATAGCGCTTCAAACATATGACTGTCAATAATACATATGGACTGAATGATGAATACTTCAAACATTTATTGGTTTTTTGAAAACGATGCTGGCAAACACAAACAGCCTTAATACGGGAAGATTAATGTCCAACCATTCTTCATCTTCTCTTGGCATAAGTTTAACAATCAAGGTGGGAACGCTTTAAGATTTCAAACAGTCTTATTATAAGATAGCTCCACAGTTTTGGATATAGACAGCTGATATATTGAAGGGCGTGGCATGTGTGGCCATGTCCAATTGTTGCATGAAAGTGCACAAAGTATTGGAGAGTAACATCAGGTCCTGCCAACCCTGCATGTTTAGTAAAACGAGAGGAAATGTGACATCTGCCATAATTTCATAACATTTCAGACCAATGGCGAATTTACGAAAACGTTTTCCAAAGTTCAAAGAGGTGACATGGAAAGCAAGCGACCTCTGCATTATTGTTTTAATGTAACGAGTAATGTGATAAAAGGGATTAGGTTAGTGATAACAAAACAACTATGTAAAAATACAAGCAATTGTTTAACTGTATAACTCCACATCCTCCTGGGAATTGCGCTATCAGTTGGCGACATCCACCACAGAAGATATTGGGAGTACAAACGTAATATTCCGTCTTTCAAGAATGCAGATAAATAATGTAGAATTATCTGCTCTTGTGAAGAGAAACTTCCCATGACGTTAACTCTCAACCAATAACAGCAGAATAATCTACAATACGTAAAGACTGAATTGATTCATCATCCAGTTAATGTAGGTTATGAATGAAGAAAGGATACTATCGATAAAGGGAAAGCTTATTCAATATATAAAGAAGTGTTCCGTCGCTGAACGTCCAACACAGTGAAAGGCTGCCATTTTGGTCAGGTTTCACAGAAATCAATAACTGTTAAAGACACATACAATCAAGACAATTCAATAACTTTCAGGTTGGTGAGAATGTAACATAAAATTCTCCAACACATCTATACACGTTTTGACTTTTTTTGACTTGGTTTTCGCTTACTTTTCTATTGAAAGCCTAAAGAAAATTATTTTGTATATCAATAAGAATAATGAATGCGCCGCATGCAGATCCACTCAGATTTAGCATGGTGTGATAATCATTGAATCCAAAGAGTATATCTTTTTTCATAAAACTTGAAACGTCTTTGATATTGGGACTACATGTAAACACTGTAAAACACATCCTCAGTGCACCTAATCTTTAGTCAGGAGGGACTGCTCCCTGTAATAAAACCTTGTGCTTACGCAACTCCACGAGATATAGCATGTTTGACAAATCAGAAGAGAGAAATAAGGACCATTCAGCATCTCTGGAACGCTTGTTTTTATGCTTTCTAATTACTCAATGACATGTAAAGTTGACTTAAAATTTTGATGGCTTGCATGACGAGAGAACATTTGAGCTAAGCCAAGATTTTATTGAAATAATCGCATATGACCGTTTCTTGATCATTACTCAATGAGCGGAAGAAAGGAATAGTTGAGTAGAGGTACTTTAAGCTAACGAGGAATGCAGCTACATGCGATTATTTAGTGACGTGTGGTTGTAATACAAGACAACATTCAGACAACCAACATGTAACCGGGGCCTATCGAACTCGCCCCATCTTTGTTATACATGTAAACGGAGCCTCTTCTCGTGGGAAATTAAGCACAAGTTCATGCGTTTTTATCATTTCGTATAAACAAGTATTTGATTATTGTCTGTCTTCTTGAGTTTGATGAAGTTCACGGACACATGCCTTTTGATATTCTTGGTAGAAAAGTATTGCGTTTCGTTGTTTAATTAGGGAAAAGCACAGCTGCACAATCGGCATGTAATGTTTGGACAGCTATGTGGCGAGGCAAACCTAGATAGTAATCGCGTGACGAGATGAAAGGCAGCCTTTATACATTATTAAGGATTTACATCGACAAGCTGATACACACCCATCACAGCTATCATTTCAGATGTACTGTTCAAGTTCTACGGACATTTGGGCAATTTAAACTGAGCCGAAGTGCCAACTATGTCACAGGCCAGCCTTCTTTCAGCGCTAGACACTGGCAGGAAAATCTTTTGGGCTAGACAGAACAGTAGATTCTATGGTGGTGCGTGACTGTTTACGGTTAGAGTAGGATTGCAATCCAATATCAAAGTTCATGAGCTCAGAATGAAATGTGGAGCTTGTAATCTTTAGATATGGTGGCAACATTGATTTTTTACCACTGGGACAAACAGCACACGTAGAGAACTAATTCTGAGAGGCTCTATCGAAGTGGTGATCACTACTGTTACAGTTGTGTAATTCAACACAATTGTCAGTCTTCGATATATGTGTTTGATAACGACATTTTAAAATGATTACGATAATATTTCCATCGCTTTATACAGCAATTGGATGTAAAACCACGGTTAGAGTGACCTTAATTGTTAAGGTCAATGATGATTGTCTTATGTTTGAAACAATGCATCAGTATTGCAAATAATACGGAATAACACGGATGTGTTAATATGTGATGAGTTTGATGTCGAAAGAAACAAATAAACTTTTTAAAAAATTTACAAGATACCCTTACTGTAACGGCAATCATCCTGACATCTGCGCTTTGATATTAAGAAACAAACACATTAACTCCATAACGTTAAATTAAAACACCATATCACGCAACATTAACTTATCTCAGCATCAATTCCACACTTACGACAGTTCTTTTCATTCCAAGGCTCATTCACATATTTATTTGTTGTTTGATTGTTGTTAATAACAAAGATTTTTCCTTCGGCCTTTTTTCCGTCCCCATGGAATCAGAAGTATCATTCTCCTATACGAAATAACAATACATCAGTAAATAGGTCGTTGGTACTATGAGATACGACCCCAATCTCTACTAATATTGATAAACGTATGCACAAAGGGTCCTTCCTTTGTGCCTTCGGCGTCGCATCTTGGATAAAAGATGGCAAAATCTTGTTCTAATAAATAATGAGAGCCCTAGGGAGATATCGTGTCTGATGTATAGATGTATCAGCTTCCGAATGTGTGGAAACGTTCATAAAATACTTGTGATTATGCAGCGTGCCACTCCCTACTTTAATTCTACGCTGGACAAGGAAGTGGGTGATCAATTCATTTTATTCCACGGCGTTGTTAAATCTCTCAGGCGCAAGATATTTAATTACAGATACAAATTTTCTCGCAGTGATGGCTTAAAAGTATGTTGCTATCATAATTTGTAACGGAAACTACAGTTTTCTGTAAACATAACACTTAACATTTTTTTTAATGAAAAGGAAAAAAAAAAAAAAAAAAAAAACGAAAAAAAAAAAAAAAAAAAAAACCACAAAAAAAACCACAAACACATAAAACAACCAGCTTTCTGAAACGAAGTGCAAAACCCTCATAGGAATGTGTCTATGTATATATAGTTAACAAATTACATGTTTTCGATTTTTAATATATATATATATATATATATATATATATATATACATATCAAAAACTTAAAAAAAAACTGGAAAACACGACGAGGTGTAAAATGCTTTCATTTCTTCTTCAGATGATTTGCATTGTATTCATCCTGTTTTCCAGGGTTTTTTTTTTTAGTTTTTATATGTTTTCTGGACACGGAGAATTTACCATATTTTCACTATATATACATACATATATAAACATATAATACATATATATATAAATGTATATATACATGTATGTCGGCCACGGCAAAAATAAATAAAAGGCTCATTTTAGAACAATACATTTAAGTATAGAATAAATTGTGGTCCGAATCTATATTTTTTTCAGAAATGAAAGTAGGTTAGTATTGGAAATTAGTAAATGTCACATTGATAATATCGACGGCCCCTATTTAACGGTGAAATACTTTGTCGGAAACGTAGGTGAAAAAGATACAAATCGCCGAAATGTCTGATATAATTTTAAATACTCAAAACATTAGATTAAACATTAAAATGAAGTCCCCTGAATGAGATATAGTAATTATATTTTCTTTTTTTTGGGAAACGCGTCGGAATGTAGTTATCAACTTATGACGTCATTTCATATGATTAAAATAACAAAACCTAATTTATACTGAAGTCAGAGCGTAAAATACAAAATAACTTAAATTTATTTTCCTGTTTTTTAAAATCATTATCTGCATATTAACGCAAGAGAAATTAGGGACAGCAACGATTTATCATCAGTAATAA